ACCTAAAGCTGGCAACGGCATCTGTGAGAGCTCCAACGTTTATGTAGAAATTTCTGCACGGACGGTCTGACTATCTATTTGTTGAGAGTCCGCAGCAGCAACATTTCAGCGACAGAACACGCAATCTCTCCGAACCCGTGCTACAGGGGGATTACCCGTCAAAGCAGACGTGATCGGACGCCAAATTCTAACTCTTCTCTGGGGTGATCCCTGCCGTGCGCACAACCACCCATCGCACCTACAGAGCACACCTGTGTCTTGAGACTGAGACTGACCCTAGCCGAACAGGCAGCGGTCAATTCCCTGCACAAGATCCAAGAATGATTTTCCCCAAGGTTCTTCTCACCATCCTCGCCTGCGCCATGCCGGGCATCCTAGCGCGTCCCTTCGGCGACGGGCCCACCTGGGTCAGCACCTGTGCGGACATCCCGACCGAGGCTACCTTGGCCGGGACGACCCTCACCATCCTGGGCCCCATCGACTGCATCGAAACCCCCAAGGTGAGATCTTCGTTGAACCCTCGGCGAAAACATGTCCTCTGAACCCTGAAGCCTTAGCGAGGCCAACCTCAACAGCTACAACAACAGTCAGTGGTGCAGAAACTTGGGGAGCATTTTCGAGACAGAAAAAAGCGCGTGTGTGTGCATTGCCCTTCTTTGAACCGTGGTTGTCTCATCTACATACATAGATCTCCCCGATTCCTACATACATAGATCTCCCAGACTCCGTTGGTTGGTTGCGAAGCGCCCCCACAATAAAGATCCTGCTGCGTCTTTACTGTAGCTGCCCGAGCGCAGGCAGGATACACATTCTTTGGTTCGAAACACAACGGGTTTGCTCGACACCCTATTCGAAACATATGATGACGCTTTCGAAAAACAACAAATGAGACCACAGAATCAACCCGTTGCCGCATCAACCCGTTGCCGCATCAACCCGTTGCCGCATCGGCCGGATCCGCTGACATTCATCGTACTCTGGCGGAGATCGATCATACCACCATTTATCCATATGTTTTGCTATCATCATGGATCCATCCCTCCCTATATCCCCCAGTAGCAGGAGGTATGTCCGCCACTTCGCATGCCGTCCAAGGTTTTCACACCGCTGCCACCCCTTGCTCTGTTTCAACATGTTGGTGACCGTTGGACGTACGTACCATCTTGATTGTCTTAACGCGCGCGAATGTTCAGTTGGTTGTTGGATGGGACGATTATTTTATTTCAAGAAATGGCATATTCCTCTCGGTCAGGTGTCTACTGTAATGCGAGTTTGTTTGGGGTCGGTCGCGTCGGGCAGCATGAACAATGCTAACAATGAAGGAAAATATAACATTTGACATGTTATGCATACTATGTTATTATTACTAGTATTGTAAGCGCGATACATTATACATTGTTTTGCTTTCTCGATAAATTTTTGCAATCTCGCCAACGCTCACTCCACGCTCCTCCTGTAGACTAGCAGACCTGTCTTCATACATTATTGTCTTAGCATTGTATATGTTTTGTATCATTATGTTGTCTACTCCCTCTGCAGGGCAATAATATAAGGTCGGTTGGGAAATCCGGGAATATAAGGAAGGTCGGTTCGTAGTTTAGGTGGTCAGGTGTTCCTTTTAAGATTTTTTTTTTTGCATGCTCGGACCGGATAAACGCTCCGATAGGGAAACTCGGGGATATTCTTGTGCCACTCCCTCTTTTGAGAAAATTAACTCCGGCAATCATGGTCGCAAGCGAATTTTGTCACAAGGAATTTTTATTATGTTTTTTTCTCCCGTACGGCCACAAAAAAACAAATAAATATAGGGGTGTTTGATTTAAATAATTTAAGTAATTGTTTTTGGGTTTGTTTGGGGAGTACATGAAAATAGAAGGGTAGGAAGAGAAATAGAGTTTTTCCCGTTTTTTTTTTGCTTTGTAATCATGACGACTTAAGCTATCAGTTGACCGCCGTTTTCAATTGTTGATCCTATATCTTTGCTCTTGACCGGGATCAAAACGTCAGGGCGGCGAAAATGAGACACTTGGAAGAACAGACACGACGGGACAACGGGAAGAAATATTTTTTGGTGACAAAAAAATGCTATTTTGGAAAAAAAGTTATTCTGCCGGGAGTCGATCTCATGATCTCTTCAATGCATGTTTCAAGGGGGCGTTCGCTTGTCCGAACCGACCTCATATTGCCGTGCAGAGAATGTACAGTAATGATCTTATCCACAGGGCGTGGTCCTCCCTCCTCATTGTTAACCTCGCTTTGATGTACACCCAGACGATTGCCATCACGGGCAACACGGTCGTCAAGTCTCACGCGTCATTGGACACGACGGGCCTCACCCTGGTGGTGCACCCTGCGGCACAACTCACGGTCCGCGCGCCTACCGTGTACATGAGGGGCGAGGTCAGTACAGTAATGCACATCGCACATCAGGGTGAAGAAACCTATCAATCCAACAACAGCAGTTGGTACCACATCCATCCCACATCGTTTGCTTTGGAGTCTACGTACGAACTACTGTACCCTACATAGCGACAGCTTAGGTTTTTAAGTCTTTCGTTTTCTCCGGTAGGTGCTTCCTTCTTGAAATTCCTGTCAGGCAGCTAGTGGTCTATGACACCGCACTGCCGTTTGTTGCCGTATTTCAATAACCCTTGGACAGAAGATGCAACAACCCATCCTTCGGGTGCATGGTAGCGTCGTGTTCGAGGTGACCAAGTGGCTCCCGGAACACCTCCATGGACTTCTGGTGAGCATGAAGCAGGATGAATGAATGTAAAACATGCCAAAGACGCCGCCATGTGTTCCAGCGCTGCCTTGAGTAGCCCCCCCTCCTGCCAAGATAGATTGGAGTGTCGCACAGGGCTTGCAAAAACCTGATTTGCCCCAATTACAAGACTATTTATTGTTTATTGTGGTTATCTTCGCATTAGAAAAACATGTCGCCCCGGCAGATTTGGCTCCGTGACGATGTGCGTATTTTAAGTGTGCACCCGCTGCGTGTTGTCACGGCTAACACATGCACAAGCGCCATCTTGAAACAACTCGAGGGTAGAGATGTTTCTTGCTATATCCTTGTGTAAACATATAGACTACATCGTCGTCATTAGCAACGAGAACGACATGATCAGTTACCTCTCCTGCCGCTGATCCTGCTGCTGCTCCTGCTACTGTCTTGGTCGTCTCACATGCACAGGTGGATGATCACGGTGTCGTCTCTCTCGAAAGTCAAGGCTCTGTGAGGTCGGCGAAGGCGGTCATGCGGTACACGGCAACGTCGGTCGTCGTTGCCGACCCTGCTGCGGCCGACAAGGTACAAGCATTGATTTCTTACATTTTCTTAGGGAGAGGCACGTCGGGGTTGAGTTTCGAGAGTATCCTCTTTCTCAAGCTCGCTCATTGGGCGGGGAGGCCCTGATGAACTTCTAGCTGTTGCAGTATGCAGTATTTCGCGAGGAGGGCCGTCTCTGTCAACGTTTATCCAAAGAAATATGGTAGCGATTACGATACAGTCTGTCCCGTCTTCGGAAGGCGGCGATCCCATCCAAGTACATGGCGTTCCTCCATGTAACTTGTTCTAAGAAATTTGTCCAATAGGAGAATCCAGATCCAGTTTCGAACGGCAAGGTTCTCACCTCCGCCACGGCCACCACCTTGTGGTGTGCCCGCTCCCTCGACAAGAAAATGTTGAAAGAAACTTGCCACTGCTTGCATGCATATATCTATAATACGGCTGTTTGCACGACAAAGGCGCTGACTTGCCATCCCCACGCTCTCTCCCCCTGTGTCTATCTCTCTCTATCCTGCACACCCCCCCCCTCCACGTACCGCGCAAATCCAAGAAACTTTAGAGCGAGGCCGACCCTGCCGAGACAGAGATTTCCAACGACCCCGAGCTGAGGCGCAAGCTGGCCATCCACCGTGCAAAGAGCAACATCGAGCGCAACTCCGAGCTTGACGTCGCCGCCGAACCAGTAACCGACGAGAAGCACTTCTCTCAGACCGCCCAGCAAAATGCACCTTCCACTGCTGCCGCTCCTAACGACAATGATGGCGACACAACCACCGCTGGCGCCAACGTCACTCCCGTTTCTGCCACCCAACCAGAAATCGCCGACGCCACGGCCGCGTCACCCACCGCCCCGGCCAGCATGCCTTTCCACGTTGCTGCTGCTGCTGCTGCTGCTGCTGCTGCTGCTGCTGCTAACGACAAGACTACCGCTGCCGCCAACGCCATTCCCGTTTCTGCGGCTCAACCAGCAATCACCGACGCCACGTCCGCGTACCCCACCGCCCTCGAAAGCCCGCCTTTTCCCCCCACTCCTTCTGCTGCTGCCTCGGACGGCAACTACCACGAGGCCACCGCTGACGCCAGCGTCATTCCCGTTTCTGCTGCGAAACCAGAAATCGCCGACGTCACGTCCGCGTCACCCACCGCCCCCAATAGCGCGCCTTCTTCCGCTACTGCTGCTGCAGCTGCCTCTACCGACGGCGACGGCGAGGATACCACCGCTGGCGCCAATGCCATTTCTGCGCACACCACTACCACTGCCACCGCTGGTTCCGGTAAGACTTCGTCTGGAGCGGGCGAGGCACCAGTGCCAGTTCCGAACTCGTGGACGGTGAAGACGAAGCAAGGCAAGCGCGACAACAACCGCGACGGTACCAGCGACAACAACAACGGCCACGGTAACGCCAGCAACAACAACAACAACAACAACAACAACAACAACAACAACAACAACAACGGCCAGAACAGCCACAACAACAATCACAACGGTCACAACAGCCACAACAACAACAACAACGACCGCAACGATAACGGCAACGGCAACGGCAACAGCAACGGCAACGGCAACGGTAGCGACAACGGCAACGGCAACGGTAACGGCAACGGTAACGGCAACTCGTACTCCCCGCCCGACCAGCAGTTCCACAAGGACACAGTCTTGAGGGTCGGGGAGGTATTGTTCGGCAAACTGCTGAGCCCGCGGAAGACAGAGATGGTTTACGCCGCGCCCGCCGATGGCTCCGTAGTGTTCGCAACCTCCACCGGAAGGGTGCCCCGGGATGAGGAAGGGCGGGCAACGGGTTCCCTCCCGCAGAAGCGGCTGACCCTCCTCGCTGCCAACGAGCGACTGATGGCCAAGGCCGAGGACTTTCGTTCCGAAATCATCCTGCGGAGGTTGGTGAAGAAGAATGCTTTGCGTGAGGGTCGGACACTTAAAAAGTCCAAGATGTCCACCTTTATGGGCTTCTTGCCGTTTGGGAAGCGCGGCTTCCTCCACCGGCGAGCACGGGACCGCGCGGAGGCCCACCTGGGGGAGGCCACGCTGAAGCTCACCAGCAAGGGTATCTTGGTGCGTTGGAGGAAAGCAAGAGCCTTATAGCTGGAGTGTCAGGGTTCGTTAGCTAGATGTTGGTCGGGATGGTTCCTCATGACTATGAGTTGGTCCAAACGGGCGGAGTTCTTGCCTCTTTTTCTCGATTCATCTCACCATATGCCCCCTCCCCCCTCGCGCCTGGTAACTAGCGTATCCCCCCTCCGTTGGTCGGTGCGCTCCCCTTCTCTGCTTTGAGCACGTTCGGTGGTAGAAGTCAGACGCAGCGGCAGAAGGAATCATAGGAAAACGAAGAACTTCTCCCCCGCCAACACTACCTACAGAGAACCATGTCCCCGAACACTTCCCCTTATCAACCGTCTTGTTCGTGTTCGGTACCCCCTACAATATTCACCTCACAGGAGGTATCGGTCGACGGCACCGTCGTTCTGCGCAAGAAGGGGCCATCATATTTTGGCTTTCGGAGAACCGACCCTAGCTACGAACTCCAAGTGACCGAGGAGGGGATCGAAGTGTCCCGAAGAGGGGATTTCGTCTGGGGCGTCAAGGCTGAGGACATATTTTAGCAAGTGCCCGCCGAAACCACCGCATCCGGTTTTGTTTTCCGTTTTCTTTCATCCCCAAGAGAGCCTTGCGCTACCAATTTTGTACGTTCTGTAAACATTTAGACACTCAATCACAAGTTTTGCGACTTTCTTAGGAAGTGCATGGGGGCTCTGCACTGTGGACCAAAGAAGATGTTGTAAGAAGTTTTCCTTGTGGCGGCCTATTTTGCGCCTTTGTTTAGCAATGCCCTCCATTCAACACGGAGGTGATGACGCTCGTGTGATGCCGGCCCAATCCCGTTTTACTTATTTTCTCTCGATTCTTGGCGTGGTTGTTGCTTCATCAGTCCTTCTTGTCGCTTGCAGGACAACATTTATTTATATCCGAATTTTGCGATCGAACGGTGGAGAATAGGAACCCTTATCGTCGTCATGATGAAGTGGCTGCTCCTGCTCCTAGACGATAGCTGCAACATGTAAAAAACGGAAATAAATGTTTGACCTCGCGACCTGACCCAGATTGGATTCAGAAACAAGCGTGCGTTCGGTCCCTTTCACTGATCGCTGTTGTGCGGGAACTTTCTTTCTCACCAACATCACACAAGGAGTTGGTGGTAGGGTCGGCTTGCCTGCTGCAAAGCGCAACGTAGGAGCATGTAGCAGTTTGTTTTGCTTTTTCCGACGTACGGAGGAGGTATTTCTGTGCCACGAAGAAACCGTCTGTCGCCTCTTTGCATGTAATTAATGTGGTGATGTGGAGGGAGGGGTAAATTTGTTGCGCGTACCGTCAAGTAGTAGAACATACGTCATAGGTGTGTACGTGTTCGTTTCGGTTCCCCCAAAGCACGGAGTCGCCGCCGTCGAGTATTTCCTTGTTTGCCTAGCCAAGTTTGGGCTAGCAGCTGCTATTGAAGTAGTCGTGAAGTGTAGTGCCCACACCGTTTATCACGGAGGAGGCGAGGTAATGGTGCTCCATGTCATTCCGGCCTGATTTCCTTCTTTTCTTGGTTCGTTCGTGTCGTGGCTGCTTGATGATCGCTTTCTCTTGTGCATGAGCCGATATATCCGATACGTGATTTGCGTTATTTCCCAACCGAACAATACTTTGTAGTCCAGTGCATGGGTTTGAAACGCTGGAGAAAGCCCGAAGCCCGAATCGCGCTCCTCCGTGCGGAAACTATGTGTGTACCGTTTTTTTTTTGGCGCAAGCCAGCCCGGTCGGTTCCTGTCATCCGATGTTGTGTTGCTGGCTGCCCTCCTTTCGGTTATTATTTTCGAAAGCAGCCGAACGCTCCGAGTATGTTGGTTTCCGAAACCCTCGTCCCAAGACACCTTGGTATTGACCCCCAGCCGCAGTGACCGAAAAACATTACGGCATGTACTACACGTGCGGTGATCATGACTGGGTGTTGGCGAGGGAGAGGATCCACTCTCGTACCACACGCGGACGTGAGCACGGTTGGTCCCCCTTTAGAAACGTTGTACTAAGAGTCGCCGGACAATTCCCGAACAAAAGGGGGGTGCGCCCGAGCGAAGGGTGGAAATTGCTCTCAGGGCGCCCTTGACTGCAGCCGAAATGTTTCGATGGAGGCGAACTCTCCTCAACCTCTATAATGTGGAATCAGGACACGTCGCGTATTCTGCGCCTTTCAGCAGGGTGTGAGGCATCATTCTGCGAAGCCCCTGGCATACGATGTTGCGCGCATGTACTTGGTTGATGGCGATGTGCGGTGATATCCCCTGCCTCTCATGTCTAGACGAAACGCGGGGCTGCGAGGCTACAATTCTGGCCTGGATGAAAGATCGTCTTCAATATGCGCAACGGACAAGCCAGCCGTTGCAGCGATCATGACCGATTGTGGAAGCGCTTTGTCAGGCCAACTCCGGCTGGGAATGGTGCCTGCCGCCACAGCTCACTATTACATCTACCCACACACCCAAATGATATACCTGCAACACCAAAAAACAATCTTCAACAACGGCGGTAGCAACGCCAGAAACAATACACCACCGTCGCACATGCATGTGTACAAACCATACTCGCGAGCTGGTGAAAATGACTGGATGGACAACACCGGCACCCCTCGCACGTCCACCGAGAGACGAAACACAGCCATCGCGCACCCTCGTCCGCGTAGCCGCGTCCGAACCGCACGACAGGAAAAACCGATAGACGAGATCTCACACGTGCTAAGGCAGCGAACACACGGCTGGGTGAGTGAGCTACTCTACGGTAACACAACTAGTACGAAGCATCACGCCCCATCTCCCGCAATTTCTTCAATCACAACGCCCATTTCATGTCCTCCGGACATCGCTTCCGCAGGGCCTCTCGCGCGTCGAGGAAGTAGTCCGCCCCGAGATCCACCGTCACGCACGCCTCTCCGACTGTCAAAACCGTCGTGGCGTTCCCTTCTCGTCGAACGCGGTCGTAGTCGAGCGATGCCAGCAGCTGCCTCGCGACGGCCGGATCAACCTTCGCAGCGACGCACTTTGCGTCCATCGCCTCCTGCGGGAGGTGTGGGGTGACCAGGGTTAGGGTTGGTTGTTTGATGCAAGAGGTGGGTGAGGTGAAAGGCCACGCGAATCGCGCCGAACGGGTGACTCACGTTCTCTTGTGTAGATGGTAGCCACAATTCCTCGAGCGCAGCAAGTGAAATGAAACGCAAGCAGCAGATTTCAGAGAAAATCTCACGCCTCCACACAGCCAGGACAGCAAGACTCGCGTACAACAAAAATAAAAACACTTTTGTTCTCCCCACAAAAACGCAAAGGGCCACTAGGGCAGAGCTTCAGCAAAACACGTGAGCGCGAGAGTAGCCGAGGAACACGACAAAACGCACGTGGTCCACCGACAAGCAGGGCCGTGTCAAGAACACCGTGAAATCAGGCTCCTGGTCGGCGGCGGCCTCTTCTCCCTTGCCGTCGTCCCCCCCGCACGCGCAGAATCTCTCGTGCCCCAGCGGGACGGCGTGCTCCGGCATCCTCGAGGCCGGCAGCGGCATACATCGAACGGCGTCCGCGACGAGAGCGGCGTTGGCGGCCACCGCTGCCCCCGCGACGCCGTCCTTGGTGTCGTCCTGGAAGAACACCTGCGAAAGCAGAAAAAAAGAAGCGGGTCAACCGATGCGAATGAGGGAAAATGACGACACACTTGTTACGGGGTGGTCCGCGTGGATGCAAAGTATTATGTCCAGGAGATGCACATAACCAGTCTGTCCTGTTGCGTGAACATCTCTCGCCATACCCACAAGACGATCACAGAATGACACACGATGTGCACACAGCAGTCAAGACGATCACAGAATAAGACACAATGTGCACACAGAAGTTGTCCGTCTGATTCCACTACACGGGGTACCAGCGTGCACGTCGCCTTCGTCGATGCCCTCTCTTACCCTCCAGATACACGTAGTATAAACGTGTAGGGACACACACGAAACCATAGGCGGTGCTGAGGGGAGACTGGAAAGGGTACATATAAACGCCAATAACGACAACAGGGGTCAAGGGGGAATGCCATTCCAACCAAGAAAACTTCAAGTACACACCTCCACTGTTTCGCCGACTTGGAGGCCGGACTTCTTCCTGAGCTTCTGGATGCGGCTGACGATCTCTCGAGCGAGTTTCTGCGACAAGACCTTCTCGTCCTTGCGCGTGTCGAGGACCACCATCACCTTCCCGTCCTCCGACACGGCGGCCTGGAAGACGCTCGTGTCTCCCTTGAACCCTCTCTTCAGCATCAGGTCGTCGGCGGAGAGGGTATGTCCCGCCACTTCTACGGTGCCCCCCTGAAAACGTACCAAACATTCACAAGATAAGACATGGACCAATGCACACACAGTAAAGCATTTAATGATGAGAGCGCGAATGCATACGGCGACAAAAACAACACAACACTGGTAAAAACGCAGACGGCGACGGGGAGTATTCCCCCGAAAGAAAAAATCGTGAGATGTCCCGGAAAATGGACAAAATACAAATCAACTTTTGTAAGGGGCTGCAAAACAGATGCGATTAAACCCACACGCAACAACTTCGACACGGCCAAATACACCGCTACGAGGCATCACCTGCAACCAACGCCACGTCATGCTTGCTTTTTCCCGTGAGCAGGACGAAGGCACCGATCGCTACACACAAGAGAGGCAGGCAGCAGCGGAGGTCCCTTCCTTACCTCGAGAAGTGGCCAGAGCGCGGCCGTGTCGAGCTTGACCAAGGCCTTCTTCACCCCATCGAGGGCCTTCCCTAGCCGCTTGCCGAGGACCTTGTTGTTGGCCTCTGCCGTTAGCGTGCACCACGACTTCTCGTCCGCTTCCAGCACAACCTTTTTTTTTTGCCAAACGAGAAGAAAAAACGAAGGGAAAGGTGATGTAGTTGCTCTTCGGCTTCTACATAGCGAATCCGAGTCAGGATGATCTTGCCTTGCAGCGCGTCAACCTTCGGGGCACTTAACGATGCCCAATCAAGACTGGGTGGGTATACCCACACGACTCACAGATGAGACAAGAGTAGGTTCTAAAAGCTGATGCAATCATGCAGGGTCCTGCGTCATGCTCCCAACGACCACACCTAGCTTCGATACACAGTCAATCCGCCGTCGCTTCCAACTCGAACATTAGCCCCCAATAAATCCCTCATCTTCCCCTCTTTGTGAAGCACTTTACTTTCTGGGGTAATTATCACCATCCTCACCTCCCATGCGTTAAGCTCGCCCTTCACGTAGCCCTGCAGCTTCTCCAGGGCCTTCAGGGTGCCCTCGTCCTTGCACACCACCGTGATACCCTTGACCGGTGTCTTGAGAGATATGCCCCGCTTCTCACGGGCAGAGCGGCCAAGGTCAATGACCGTCTGCATCGCTCGCATGTCCGACTCCGCCTGGGGGTCGAGCCTGTCATATTAACGGGGGCGCCGCGGAATATAAAATGTGTGTGGTGCGGGGGGGAGTTAACGGACAAGCCATGCTGAGATCATACAGTAGTTGGTCACGAAGAACAAGACTCTGGTCGCGGCCAACGAACTGCACAACGAACCAAAAAAAAAGCGTCCACTGCCTTGGGTGCTCGTCATGGACATGATCAAACACGTCACCCAACACCCTCCGAGGGTACCGTCGGGAAAAAATTAACGCCTGGCTTTTCCGAGACGCATTCCAAACAGCAATATCACACACAACCCGAAGACCTTTGTCTATTGGCATCAAGCCCCAACGCCTCACCTTGCCCCAACAAAACACTCAAGAGTCCTACCCACACACAACCCGAAAGGGCAAACGAAAACAGCGAACGCTCGGATCCCACTGTATTCGGCATAGATTAGCTGTAGATAGACTAGCTACGTACGTACGTATTCCGGGCGTGCAAAAATTGTCAACATCACACCATCTCCTTGCAGCTCTCGTCATAAGCACGTGCACCGAGCTGCCCCAACCAAAAAGCGTGTAAACAACAACACAACCCTAAAGCATCATCGTCTGCAACTTGCAGCTCTTACCTCGACTCGTCAACCTCCGGCATCATGAGCATGTGCACCGAGCTCGCGCGGCCGGGAGCATCCTCGGCTACGTCCTTGCCGCCGTCCTTGTCCGGGTGGCACTCACGAAGGTGGCGGTAGGTGTACTCCGAGAAGAAGGGGGTGATGGGGGCCATAAGGACCGACATCGTCGACAGCACCTCGTACATACAAAACAGTCCTGAGGAGAAGGGGAGGAAAAGAAAACAGGGGGAGGGGGAGTGTACGTGAACAGGAAAATGGGTACGCAAACAGGTCGTAGGCCTTCTTCCAAGTATTTTTTAGAAAGCATACATTATCTCACGGAAATACTACCCGTTCAAGGTACAAGCACAGTCGAAAGGGATGTGCACCACGCCTTTTCAGTGAGTGGAGGGAAAACGGCTGGAAAGTGGGCTTGTGTTGACTTTGCTTGAGCCAAAACACTGAATTACTATACCAGTGATGTCAGCTGGTGTTGGGAACAAAAGCATCTAAAGGTAGTTGTTGAAGTCAGCGCAGAGACCCGAAACAGCTCGACGTGTGGGTGTGCGGTCGTGCTGTTCACACTGAAGTTCACACGACATAACCAAAACGACATGAAGGCACCACAAGAGCACACCAAACCCTGTGCTGCATGTGAAAACGCGCACGTGTCATTAACGACGCGACAATCTGACAAACTGCTGTACTGACAACTAGAAATAAAAGGCACACAACGGCCTCAGATTGAAGTGCTTGAATTCTCGACAGAGAGCCGTTATCAGCGGCGTTCCGAGTGTCGCAGAAGTCATGTGTGCGAGCAAATCATCACTGACCAGTGTCGTCTTGCTGCTGCAAGACTTCTACCAAAAACAATTGCGCGCAAATCAACGTGCACTACCAACACAAAACGGCCAGATACGGCACGCAAACCAATGTACGCCCTTGAGCTCTTTCGGTATTTTCTTCAATGAGGCCAGATTCTAGGAAACAACAACGGTCGACGGGTTTAGGGACGAGCACTGGTTCTTGATTCGACAGCAGCACAAGCCACTTGGCTGCAGGCCTCAGATCATTTGCGTACGTTCTCGACAGTGGTCCGTTATCAGCGGAGTTCCGAGTGTCACAGAAGTCATTTTTGTGTGCAAATCATCACCGGCAACAGCCGCGCCCACCCCTCACGCAGGTGTCCACTTACGAGCTTGTGACGCAAAACATGAAAAAAAGAAAAGGAGTCTCGCCGCTCTCCTCCTCACGTGCCTCGTCCACAACTACAGTAACACTACTGGCGGGCCTAAGCGTCAACATCATCACCAAACTGCCATGAATCCGCAAAAAGAAGGTTCAGATTGAACTGCACCGACAAAAACAAATAATTTTGCCATAAACAGACAACCAATTAGACCAAGAAAAACAACTACAGTAATTCAGACAAATAATTATGTCATAAAAGGCAACCACTTAGCGGTGTTTGTTCCGTCAACGCAGGAAATTCATCACGTCAGAAATCGATGTCACGCGAAAAACCTGCTTGCTTGTTATTGCTAGCCTCAGATCGTATGCTTAGATTCTCGACAGAGAGCCGTTATCAGCGGCGTTCCGAGTGTCACAGAAGTCATATTTGTGAGCAAATCTTCATCGGCAAACACCAAGCCAGACGCGCCGCCCGTCGACTTGGAACCTGATCTGTCAAGTCTGTGGTTGGCTGGTCTAATAAACGACCGACGAGAAAGAAAGGACTCAAGGGGTGGAGCTCAAGCAAGTACGGGGTTCAAAGTGCAGGCATTCGATCATTAACTCCATGCTGTTGCTTTGATTTTCTTTCATCCTAATTGTTGATGAAAAAATGAAGACAGCCCAGCCAGCCAAAAGAACGATAAAAGTAAAGCAGAACGTTCACCAGTCACCCTCATATCGAAAAGGACTGCGCCCGAAATAGTTAACCCCATCCATGTCTTAACATGTCCTCGCGACTACGGGTGATCCGCCTCTGCATCAGGAACCGTGTCTCCCAGAGCGACTCCACTCCCGAAGGACAGCCCTCCTCAACGATTCTGATTATTTCTTCACCGTCATTCTTCAACCTTGCCCACGTCACTCATCCTAAAGCATCCTGATGCCGTCAGTCTGCAGTCCAACAACTGTTCAATGAAACTGTCCAAGACATCCATCCGCTTCTTGCTCTCACCTGCCGTGGCGCTCTCAGCCCCCTCCGCGCCCTTAAGGCGGTTCCGGTTGAGGCGGACGTACCAGTTCGTAAGCTGCTCGATGAACTCCACCAGTCGAGGGACGACCGTGTAGAGCCGGTACGCCTTCATTTCTGTGTGAACAAACTGAGGCAAACGACGAAACAAAAAGAAGGACAATACACAGGATATGGAGTTAATTGAGCAACATAGGTACTGGGTAGAGAGATTGGAACAGTTTTTAATGTGAAGAAAACAACACCAACAACATTAGCCGAAAGCCACCAAAAACAGGCGCAAAAAATACGCAACCTGCGACAGGTTTCAAAACACACATCTCCCTTCCTGCACCAGTCTGTGAACGTCACAACGCTCAAGCAATAAAAAGACAATCGGGAAAAAGCAGAGTCTCAAAACACAACCCCCTCCCGGTGCCCAGCGTGTCAACAACAGCTATTTCGTGTCACAGCGCCCATAAAAAAGACGGCTGCGACGGTCCTCAACAAAACACGACTGGCTACAGTACACACCTGTACCAGTCCCTGAAGTGTGGCTTGGATCCAGTTGTCCATGACGTTGGTCGACTTCGCGGCCGCCTCGGGATTGGGAACGAACCGATCGCCACACGTCATCTCCAGCCGACGGGCCTGCAAAAACCAAAAAGAATAACACGACGTTGGAGCAGCGAGTGACGCGCTACGACACCTACACCAAATGAGACACGCGACACATTCTCCCGAAGATGACCCAGGTACTAGAATAGAAACCATACAGAGGTGTGAAAAGCGCATTTCATTCTTCCAACCTTCACCCAGACAGAGGTTGTGGAATGGAAACATCACCTCCCGAGGCGACCGGGTGAGACCCCCCCCCCGCCTCCCAGGACACGCACAGCTTGTCCGAGAGATCAAAATGAACGCCAACTCTAGCAGATTGCACTTGAACCCATTTTCGTCAATGTTTCCACTTCCTCCAAGTACAGTATACCTAGCAGAGTTTACTAAATGGTCTGGTGATAAAAAGTGATACTAAATAGTAGCGTACCTGCTGTACGAAGAACCGGAAGGCGTTGAACCACGGCAGCAGTACCTCACGCACGGTCGCCTGCACCCCCTCCTCCTTAAATTTGAGGGATTCCGCCCTCACAACGGGGGAGTTGATGAGGTACAGCCGGAGGGCGTCCGCGCCGTGGGAGTCGATCACCTTCATTGGGTCTGCCGCCACCGATGGGGGTTCCGTGGAGGGCAATCACGGGGAGGGGGGGTGTTGGCAAGTAGTGGGGTCATGTAAGAAGATACTGTGCGAGAAGGGGTTCCGTGGAGGACATCGCGGGGCGGGGGGAGATGTTGCCCAGCAGTGGGGTGATGATGGGAGACTTGTGTAACGCATGCCGTTTTGTCGTGGAATTGCCACGATAACTCTGTGAGCGTCAACAGTGCAACCCCATTTTCGTCGCGCGTCACCTAACCAAGCGTACCTTGTCCGCAACAAAAGGTGAGACCGTGATCATCACACACCTTCCCCCCGTCTCTAGAGTTTTGCTTCTCCGGAGAAAATCTTTGCTTAAGGCGTCCATGTTTATATCACGCATGGCCCTCCCTCTCATTCGTTTCCGCTTTGTCCGCGTACTACTGGGGCCGACTCATCGCCGAGGTCATTTCTGTTTGTCCGGGTATTTCTTGAAGACTTTGCTCACCGGGGTAGTTCTTGAGGCGTTTGCTCATCTTCTTCCCGTCGGAGGCTAACACCAGGCCGTTCACGATCAGGTTCTTGAAGGCCGGCTTGTCGAAAAGGGCCGCGCCGAGCACCGTCAGGGTGTAGAACCAACCGCGAGTCTGAATAGCAAAGCCAGCCGTGACACACAAGATAGAGCACGTAAAGCACCGAAAGAGGCACAATGCCACCGCATGTACTGAGATAAGGAAGAACGCCTCCCACTTGTTTGTAGTGGCCGTTGCCGACCTTAGTCCGTGTATTGGCTCTTGTTGGCTTTACTTCATCGAAGGTAGAAAAACAATCTTCCTGTGATCACACGCGATATGCACAGGAAGCAACAATCAGAGTGGTTCCGGAATCCCGCGCACTACAACGGCTTACAGCACCCACATAGTCATGCCACACCTGCCGTGGACAAAACGCTACATACATACCACCCCGACAGAGTGAGCTCACACACCTGATCAAGCCCCTCGGCGATAAAGTCTGCGGGGAAGTTTTTCTCGAACTTGTCCTTGTTTTCGAAAGGGTAATGCAGCTGAGCGTACGGCATCGACCCCGACTCGAACCAGCAGTCGAACACCTGGAATATCGCAGCAGCGGCCGATGAGACAAGGAGAGGAGAGGAGAGATTATTAGCGTGGGTGGGTGTGTTGGTTCTTGACATTGGAAACACTTGAATTTTTCAGTCTTGAGGGCCCAATATATCGCGACGTGCAAAAGCTCGATAGGACAAGTCGGGAAAACGCAGGGAGGGTGTAGGCAAGTACGCCAGTCACATCATTGACAGCACAAGTAAGATATTCGAATTTCACACCACGGTACACCAATTCTGTACACGAATCCCCGATTGCCATCAAGCTACCTGCACGTGTTCAACAAAGCTGCGACAAGAGGTACAATATCATAGAACAAAGTTCTTATCAAACAGCCTGAACAACAACAACACAAGACGAACGCCACCGTGGAAACGACCGCATACGTACATGCAAAGAGCGGACTACGAAACAATTGCACCCAGAAATCTCCTGCCACACAGCCAATAAAAGCAGCGCACCCTTCGCTCACCTCTTCGACTCGCTTGAGGTCACCCTTGCCCTGCTTGGACGGAATCGTGATGTGATCCACCGATTCTCTGTGGAGGTCGGTCACCTGCGTTTGTTGCCGAAATACGGATCCAAGTGCGTGCACACCACAACCACATCAGCCAGGGGTAAAGACGTTGGCGTGAAAACGAGAGAGCAGGGCGAGGTCACAAACGGGGGGGGGGGGCTGAAACAACACGAAAGTGACTTCCCTGGCCGAAGCGGGTCGCCCCCAAAAAAAAAAAGGGTAAAATGAAACACCACTTCGGCGGGTCAAACCACCCCATGGTCGCGCCAAATGACAGCCCGCTCTCCCTCCCTGGCGACGACGCATAATCACGAGGCCAAACCGCTAAGGCACGCAAAACACGAGTACCTTCCCGAGACCCCCACCCCTCACTAGATCTTCAACTAAGGCATGCAACACACGAGGACGCTCCCCCCACCCCCTCCCGCAATTACTCTTTGTGGAGTAAGGAGGAAGAAATTCTACGAAGGAAAAAAAACTGATGCCGCCCCAATCTGATTCACCTCTACCCCGGAGAGCTCCTTGAGCTCGGCGATGGAGCCCACGGCCACCATCTCTTCGCCGTCCTCGCTAACCCACATGGGCATCGGGGTCCCCCAGAATCGATTCCGTGACACCGCCCAATCCTTCGCACCTTCGAGCCTGTGTCGCAAACAAACATGTGGGTGTTCAGTTTGGTTTTCAAACCCACCCCGCTGTCGACGCGGACACAAAACAAAAATTGTGAGCATCACGACAAAAAAACAGACAGGTGTCATGTCCGAACACATACAAGGGAGCGTCACAAGACTACCAAGAACAAGACAATTGGTAACAAAAAGACAATTGGTAACAAAAAAACCAAGTGTTGGGCATAGGGGGATGTGCGGAGCGTACAGGTGAGTCTTTCATTGTCAAGAAAAGCGAGAAACAACGACAGGACATCAAACGGTATGACAACGCGAAACAAAAAAAGAGACTGGCAATCAGAGCGTGAAAGAGACAGTCAGTCACCGAGGTGGGAAAAAACCCACGCGGAGCGCTGCCGATCTCAACAAAAGGGAAAAAACTCTTGCGGACACGGAAACTCGCAAAAAATCCTTTGGCCCTCAGAAACACAGGTGTCTCTTGAAATTTCCACATGTAAAAAACAGAAACTCGGTGGTCATGTTAAAAGAGTCATCATCACTGGGCCTAAGGCCAATTTGAAAAGTACGTTAGTATTGACGGCATGTCGTCATGACTCATCAGGCAAAAATGTCGTTCGCGCAAAAAAACGCTGCAAAGCAACGTGCTTCGCGCACTGGCAGGTTCCGCGCGCAACTATCGCAGAGCTACTTCATATACTGCCACTCACCAGTTTTGGAAGCGTTTTTCGTTCACGAAGGCGGGCACCCAGTACGTCTCGGCGTTGGCCTTGAGAAGCTTGTCGCGGATGGATTCGACGCCCACGAACCAGGAAGGTACCGCCTTGTAGATGAGAGGGGTGTCCGACCTCCAGCAGAAGGGATAGCTGCGGGGGGGGCAAAAAAGCGAAGAAACAACCGGAGGGTAAGTTTCAGCGTAACGAAAAATTGGGAAAACCAGCCGTCGGGCAGACAAATGGTGACAACAGCAACGGCACGAGGTTTCAGCACACAAGCAAGGCAACGTTTCAGGGTCCAAACACGAAACCGTTTCCGACGTCTACCAAATCTACTTAAAGAGCCTCGTTCGTGGCCCCTCGTATACGAACGCAAAACGAAAAATCCCAGTCGTCTCCAACAGCGCAAGCGCGGGGTCAATTATCACCAACACCCGGGGAATCCCAGTCGTCACGGCCACCGGCAGCACCACCGATACACGGGCTAACCGTAGGAGGTGTCATGACGGAAGATACCGCAAACCCCTGGACAGATATTTCAAAGCTTAATAAATCAACATTGACGAGGATACCAACATCAAACCATGTCATACATTCTTAAAAAGCTCTCGACGTTGACGATCATACATCACTATTCAGCCACAGTTCGTCATCGTGATGCACGGGAATCAGGCTTCAAAAAACAGGTCCAGGGGGGGGGGGGGGGGTATCTTATCTTACTTCACCCACAGCACAAGCCACCAAGAGGCGCCTTCCACCACGCACACCTACAAACGAAGCTACGTACATACCTGTGCGTGCAACTGTCCTTGGAGACAAGCCTGCCGTTAGCCTTGATCTCGTCGCACAGGGCCTTGTCCGCCGTCTTCACGTACTGACCCGCATACTCCCCCACCTCAGACGTGAACAACCTGTGGGCCGAAAGACCGTGGGGAATAAATGAACCATGAGGGCCCATTCGGGAAAGCATCGGGGTTGGCACATCAGCAACTCCGGACCGAGTAAAAAGAGCGTCGGAGGTGTGGCGACAGCACCACGTCGGGGAGACAAAGGCACGTGTATCGGACTGCGGCGGATTGGCGTACATCAGTTATCGGCTGGACAGCGGACGCGGGAAAACGCCACAGCTAAGACCACAACCGCACCCAAAAAAAAAACACCAACAAGCATAAACAATAAACGAACAACATGACACAGATGCCTCCGTCGGTCACCACCCCAAAATCACATGACAACAGACTCATCTCAGTTGTTTTCATTTCGCTCGACATCAGATCTGCAGCAGCCACTCGCCAACACCGAGCAGGAAAAGAACAAAGAGGCGGCCAACACCCAAAAAAGAAGAAAATGAAGGCGGCCAACACCCACGAAAAGCAGAAAAAGGGCGAGGGGGGGGAGCATACGGCTGGTATTGATGGCTCACCCGTTCGAGTCAACGGGGCACGGGATCTCTTCGCCCTTGGCGATGACGCCGTGTGCCAAACAGACACGATAGTCATCCTCACCGAATGCCGGTGACTAAGATAGCGATAGCGATAACGATAACGATAACGTGCACACAACAACAAAACACGTAAACAGCGGAGAAAAGGGCGTGGGACGCGTAGGGGGTCGTGAGCAAGACAAGCCCGCAGGGCAAAGAAACCACAAACACACAAAAAAAAAGAACCCGCATGCAAAATCGTAGCGACCGTGAGGCCGGTCTGGCTGGATCAGTGGATGTAACACGATGGCGTGAGGAAGGCCAACGGGGCGAGTTGGCACAAGCTTGATATACCAACCGAGTGATAAACAAAGAAGCATTAGATACATGCCTACGTATGATGACAGCATATATACGTCCATGAACGATGGGGGACTCCATCCAAAGGTACGACCATCAAAGTTGGGGGATACCACCTGCTGCTGAGCCTAGCCGGCTTCAAGTTTGGCGTGGTGAGCGTTCAACCCCGGGAGAATAGACAGGCATTAATATTTTGTGTCCAAAACCAGGGATTAATTTAATTGTACTTGTGCGCGTCCAATGAAAGCGTTACCATACACCGGTGAGGGGGACGCCGAGAACTCTCACCAACACGCCACCAAAAGCAACACGGGCACTCCACGTTCCACCACCGCTGAACGGCGCAAGGGCCAAACAACGACACCTTGCTTCACTTTGATTCACACCTCTACTTCCCACCAACATCTTTAAATCTACACGACAAAGGTTTCGCATCCAACCGCCTGTTCGGATATGCAACCGGAACATAATCAAACGATCACTTGTACGTGAACGAGTGCGACATGCACACGGAGCGACAAACACAGTCAGAGAACCTACAGCCAGTTGGCTCTCATGGTGAAGAATCAAGCCTTTTCCATTGTGAGTGGTTTTCCTCATTCTGCGTGAACTCTCCTCTCGCCAAGCCACGTACCGACTATTCCAAACACAGGCAACATATGTCAAGAGCCTCAGCGTACAACAATACACAATTTCCCATCCTTAAACTGCAGTACAACATGATCTCCCTACGAAACGTGAAACAGTCAGAGAACCTACAGCCAGTTGGCTCTCATGGTGAAGAATCAAGCCTTTTCCATTGTGAGTGGTTTTCCTCATTCTGTTCGTTTTCTCCGTCTCCCCTGTGCCTCAAGCCGTCAGCACCTTATGATTTGCTGATCAGCTTAGGTGAAGCGTACAACAACAAAAACACCTTAAACGACAAACCAAAAGAAAGTTCACAAAAACAATTAATGCGCCTTGGGTGACACCATCCTTCTCATGTTCGGGTGCGCGCACACCGCTCTTTGCACGGCCTACAGAGCTTCCGACCGTTCATGAGAATTCCTCGAGTACTGTATCCCACTCTCACACAGCTCGATCTGTCCACACCAACCAGAGCGTGGCCACCTGACCTCCAAGCAACACTGGAGATATCTGGACTCCATAAAAAAAAAACTTCAAGAACACGGCAACCAGAAGCGAGACTCCGAGGCACATCTATCGGAGTGTGTCGTCTTCTTCCCATCACAAAACGCTCACCACCACACACCTGATGCACGATACCCGTACCGCTCTCGTTGGTCACGTAGTTGTCTTCGCAGACCACGAACGACTGCTCTCGGTCCGCGAAGAACTTGAACATCGGCTCGTACTTCAGGCCCACCAGCTCCGAACCCTTGACGGTACCCAGCTCTGTGATTCCACGGAACCCCACACGATGATAACAAGTTGGGGGGGGGGCGACCAGCCCTTCAAATTGGTCCTGTTCGAAAAAGCTCAGGTAAGGTATAGAGTACCGCGTTCTACCCAAATCCCACAATAGTTGCCACAGTACGCGAATGAAGCAGGGCACGGACTTATACGAACCGCCCCCGCTACCACATCAACGTACCATCCCGCTCCCTGTTGTGCAGGGACCGACCAGAACTTGGCGGCCAAAAATAGACCAGTGCCAGTATCCGGCATGTTCTCTATGAAACTCCAATTTGCGCTCGAGTGAGTGGCATATTTCATCAGTCGGCCATCCGGCAATTATGTAACCCGCAGGAAAAAAAAACCTTCAACAAACGAAAAACAGCTGTCCGATAACTCTGGTGTCAACCATTTGCCTTAAAACCATCCCCATATGCAAAGCGCCAATTTCTGCCCCATGATTCAACGCGGCATTCACCAAGTCCTCTACTTGCAGCACACACTTCCAAAGAAATTTACACCTCGTGACTGTAGCGAACTACCATATGTAACTACAGCGGTGCCACAACGGCTGCGGCGCTCAGACATCCAAGGAAGTTTGGTGCCCCAAGCTCGAACACAGCCCGGCGGGGCGCGTGAGCGTCGGCGGTTTCACTGCGAATGAATTATGGGAATAAACGTCATCAATGCGCCAAGCGTATGTATGCAGACCGCAAGTAAATCATTTACATACGGAGATGAGCCGTGCGACCAATCATCAACACACCCAAACTACCCAATACCGTACTTGAATACAAGCGAAACCGTTGTCAAGACAACATACACCTTTGAAAATAGGAGACAAATCGAAGCCAAAGAGAGAGAAAAACCATGGGGTGGATCAGCCACGACACTTCAAAGACGCTTTCGCATGAACAACAAGAGGAAGAGAGCTCAGAGTCTGGTTAACATAGGATCCTTCATTCGAGGAGACCGCTGTCCAGAAACGCACATTTCTGCGCGCTGATTTCGGGGCAGCAGGCTCCCGCTTGACTTCGGTGGTTAGTTGGAAGTGTAGTTTTCTCATCACCGCTCTCTTCTTGCCTTCGCTATCAGCTTAGCCCCCACGCCCAACGGAGGTGAAGGGGGCACGTGGAATCCAAAATGCTTTATACAACAAATATATGCTACAGTTTTTCGCGCAAGCGGAAATCTGCCCACGGCGGAGTCGTGGTTCAAATATGTCGTACTACAGCTGGAGATAACATTATTGTGTTGGTTCCAATAAATGGCGCCCGTTGCCTTTCACATTGACGGCCACGGGAAAAAAAAGAATCACTGGTTCTCTTGTGCAGCCATTGCCAAATGTTGGCCGTATAATCCCTCCAAACTCAACAACAACGCTGCACACAACGATTCGACGGGCGTTTTAGAGTTTCTGAGTAAAAGCTAGACAAAGGTTCAAGTAAGGTACAACCCCGTCGATGAGGGGGGCCAGTAGACATAAGAGGGTGGATCGGAGTAAAGAAGGGTCGCAAGTAGGATACGACGAAGGCGCTCAGACATCCAAGGAAGTTTGGTGCCCCAGGCTCGAACACAGCCCGGCGGGGCGCGTGAGCGTCGGCGGTTTCACTGCGAATGAATTATGGGAATAAACGTCATCATCGCGCCGTTTCATCGTCTCTCCTAGATACTCCTTCATCCCTCAATTTCGTTGAATCATTGTTTTATGCCGTTTCTCGGCTCTCCGATTGTGCGCGCATGCGCTTGTTCAACATGCTTAGAAGACGAGTGTATGGTCATAGTGTTTGTATGGTCATCTTGAAAAACGCCTCCCCAAAACCGAGACTTTTTCTTATATATATGCATACCCACAACAAAGCACGCCGTGTGGACATATGGCAGGTGATAAAAACATAACCCACCCGCGTGATAACATTTCATTATCCATTGGCAAGAAACGACGAGCAACACAATTTTGGCTTACCCTCCATTAGCTCCGCCTTCATGGCCGGCTTGTACTTCTTCGTGGCCATGATAGGGTACAACTGAACAAGACGGTCCGCTCCGCAGTAGTACACCTTCCCGCTCTTGACGTCCCTTTCAAGCGTCGGACATGACATTGAAGGAAGGACAGAAAGGTGGGGTCGGGTCTAATCTCACAACACGACGATCAAAAGACACATGTAACAGTCCAATGCACAAGTTCCTCGCAAAAGAATGGGCACGATGATTCTCCGATCACACCCACTTGGTGACGAAAGTGATGGGGAATAGGTTCTGGATGAGTTGATTTTTTTGCTTCACCGTACATGAGCCAAGCAACCTTGTCTCCAAAATATTCATACATGATGACGGCGGCGTCCGGCATTGATTCACCGTCAAACTTGTCAGGGTAAAAATGTTAGCCGGAGAGGAGACTGCGGACACCAGCGCGGATTGCAAGGGAAATCAGAGACACAGACGTCCTGCTCCAACAAAACAAAGGGTTGCTGTCCATGAATACAAATTCGCAAGACGACGTTGAGCAAAAAGAGGAACAGTAACGGCTTCAAAAAAAGACAGCCCATAAATCAGCAACAACGCACGTCGCTTCTTACTCCAACCAAAGCCAAGGGGGGCAGAAAGACTACGCACACCAGTAATTTTCCCTTTCTTCTAGACACCAAACTGAAGCAGTTGGACTGAACAAAGCGGGACATCAGAAAAAATGTCGGGCGTGGTTTACACATCCCGAGACCCGAGGCCTCGTGAAAGACCTCCTCGAGCGTGCTTTAGATGTCACCCATACATGATGACGGCGGCGTCCGGCATTGATTCACCGTCAAACTTGTCAGGGTAAAAATGTTAGCCGGAGAGGAGACTGCGGACACCAGCGCGGATTGCAAGGGAAATCAGAGACACAGACGTCCTGCTCCAACAAAACAAAGGGTTGCTGTCCATGAATACAAATTCGCAAGACGACGTTGAGCAAAAAGAGGAACAGTAACGGCTTCAAAAAAAGACAGCCCATAAATCAGCAACAACGCACGTCGCTTCTTACTCCAACCAAAGCCAAGGGGGGCAGAAAGACTACGCACACCAGTAATTTTCCCTTTCTTCTAGACACCAAACTGAAGCAGTTGGACTGAACAAAGCGGGACATCAGAAAAAATGTCGGGCGTGGTTTACACATCCCGAGACCCGAGGCCTCGTGAAAGACCTCCTCGAGCGTGCTTTAGATGTCACCCACCCGTTTCATGGAAAAACCGCCAGTATGAGTGGCGTTCTCCCCAATCCACAGGTTGCTTTTGGCCGCCTTGTGCGCCGCAAACGCCATTTCCCCGGGGCTAAGCACACAGCCGCCCCGGGGCTTTTCGGGCGAGGCAGTGACTCTAATAGGCGGCCGCCGTGTCCATATTCAACACCGACAAGATAATCTCCGGGTGGAGGAAACCAGCAACTAAAGCAGTCAAGCCGAAAACACGGTTGATGCGCAACGAAACGACAACTTACGACGGACAACGGTATATTAATTTATCGCAAGGACTTTTGTGGGTCATCTCTCGTGAACACTGAACGCCAGTGGAACACACATAGCAGGGGAGTATCCAGGTCATTGTGGGGGACATCCCTTCGAATGGGGCACAATCTCGCACGGTCAGTCCCTAAGAACATTTCACTTGGAATATTTCAAGCATTTTCCAAAACAAACTAATTGTGTGGGGGGGGAGGAGGAGGTGCGGCAGATATCGGAACGTTTTTTCTTGTGAACAACACAGTTCATGTGTTTTGTTTTGGGTATTGATATATTTTCAGTTTTAGAACGCAGTCATATGGGCAACAAGTGACGTCATTGGACCAAGCTGTACCTTAGGCACGCAAATGCACGAAAAGTCCCAAACTGTCAGTTTCGTTGTACCTTAGCTTGACGTAGTCGAAGGCCTTGTTGACGCAAAGGGCCAGGTTGGACGGGAGGGTCCAAGGTGTGGTCGTCCAGGCAAGCAGGCTTACCTGACGAGATGTCGAGGCAAAGCCAATAACCAATGATATCGTCACCAACGTGTCACCGCTACGCTTGAATTGCACCGACAACATGAGGACTTATCGTCCACGTGGGACTGAGCAGGTGACAACAGTCTCGAGCGGTGTGTACATTGGTGAGCAGGTCGATAAAGCAACTCGTGCGCAACAACAAATACACTTTTCTACCACACTTCCGGAATCGACATCCTGCACTGGGAACACACAGTTTCTCAAAACAATGTCAAACAGCATGGCCAATATCAGATCGAACAGCCAGAAAACGCACTATTCGTATCCACCCCAAGAAAAGAAGAAATGTCGGGCGTGGTTTACACATCCCGAGACCCGAGGCCTCGCGAAAGGCCTCCTCGAGCGTGCTTTAGATGTCGCCCACCCGTGTCTTGGAAAAACAAAGCCAGTATGAGTGGCGTTCGTTCCCAATCCACGGGTTGCTTTTGGCCGCCTTGTGCGCCGCAAACGCCATTTCCCCGGGGCTAAGCACACGGCCGCCCCGGGGCTTTACGGGCGAGGCAGTGACTCTAATAGGCGGCCGGCTGTTTTGTTTGCTTCCGAGACAAACGTACGTCTTCTACGAACCGGCAAGAAAGGCGGTCCATGGCGATAAATCTATTGAATCCTTTGGGTGCCATATGCAGGCGCGAGTCCTTGGTTGTATATCTCCACTACGCGGTGGCAGCACCATCGAGATCGGTCGCAAATACGCCATGGTATACTCAGATGAAGGGCGCAAGCAAATATCGCAACCAAATTACGTATCTGCAGTGCAGATACATACACCGAAAAACAACGGGCAGCGCGCCTAGGCAAAACGCGGCGGCACCGCTCAAGCCTCGTCCGTAAAACAGCGTTGTCGACAAAGGGTGGCGTAGAGGACAACTACAACAAATAACAGCATCAGGATGTACTACGGTTGATATCTACCTTTCAATCAACAACGGTTCACTTCCACTTTTGTTACTGCTGTAGTGCACAAGAGCGGGGCTAAACAACGCAGAATCGGCGAAAAAAATCTTAAATACACTTGTGTTTTGACGAAATGTTTTGTTGGGCGAAGTGGCCAAAAATTGCTTGCATTGCCTTCGGCGAAAAAGAAGACTTCGAAATGCACCATCGAGCAACGAACGCACCACCGTCGCTACACCGCGGACAACGACCCGATGACCCAAACACTAACCTCGGGATCGTCCTTGAGAGGGAAGGCCACAACCACCGCGGGGTCCTGGACGTCCTTGTAGTTAAGGCCGGCCTCGAAGTTGCTGAGCGGGGTCGCGCAGGCCGTGGAGAACGGCATCACCTTGTACCCTCGGTACACCAGGTTCTTCTCCACCAGGCTCTTGAACACCCACCACACGCTCTCCATGAACCAGGGGTCCTGGAGCAGGGAGGGTTTTGCAAGAATCAGTTGTCGGCACCACGTATGTAGTGCGATTATTTCGAACTGAATGCCGGACCGCAAGCAGTTTCAATGCGACCGATTGAACGGCTGTCGAACGGGCCACTGAGTCTCATGGTGCGGCAACGGTGTACGTCCAAGGGTGTGCGTGTGTGGACCAGTTGTTTCATGCAATGAGGAAAGACAGAAAAAACAGGTGGGAACGGCAGATGACACAGACACACAAAGCCAACACCCAACACGGCTTGATGTCCCGCTCGCTCACCATGGTCTTGTAGTCGTTCTCGAAGTCGATCCATCGCCCCAGGCGCTTGATCGTGCGCTCCCACTCCTTCGAGTACCGAGTCACGATGCTCCTGCAGTGCTTGTTGTACGTCTCGATGCCCATCTCGAGGACCTATGAAATTGGCCAAGGGAAGAAACAACAGCACCAGCGTCATTAGTATCGTCCAACCAGGTTGCTTCTAGCCGAGGTGCCATCAAGTGCGGCCGGCACCAAAACGGCAGCGCAAACGAAAGAAATATGTCGGCAGGCAACGTGTCGCATCTTAGAATCAGGTGAACGAAAATATCGTTCCCAAGTGGAGGGCGCTGAATCTTCGAAAGCACGCCGACAATCAACCGGAGCCGTCTCCCGGCGATACACACACGTCAAACACACACAACACACACCTGGTCGCGGTGCTTGATCCCGAGAGACTGGTCTATCTCGTACTCCACAGGGAGGCCGTGGCAGTCCCACCCTGCCCTGCGCGAGACGTGGTGCCCCGACTGGTGGGCATACCGGGTGACCGCATCCTTGATCGTGCCTGATGCCACAGAGGGAGGGAGCAGCGTAGAGCGGGACAGCGGGGGAGTGAGCGAAAGGCGGGGATATAAGCTGAAAGAACCGATTGCAGAGGAAGCAAAGATGCGGCGCGATAGTCGACTGCTGCGTGTTAGGTGACCGCCCTTTCCAACTCTTCGCAACCACCCCGAGTGCAGCACGAACATCGTCGATTGTTGGTTCTCGTGGTAAAACCCTCACAGCCCTCTGCGGCACGCTCTTCCAACCTTATATTGGGCTGAGTTACCTTACCCTACGACACATGCCTCTTCTCTCTTACCCGCAAGGATGTGGCCGTAGTGAGGGAGACCGGTCGCAAAGGGCGGACCATCATAAAAGGTGAAGTCGGGCCTGCCCTCGCTGAGCCGGAGAGTCTCCTTGAACGTGTCGTTTTCCTCCCAGGACGCCTGAGCTTGTCCGTCGAACGTCACGTAGCCACAACACGACCAAAGAGAGATGATCGGTCAGGTAAAAATGCGCAACGAAGGGAGCACGGCGACCAGCGTCGGCAGGGGGGGGGGAGGGCGACGTGAGGATGTCGGTTGTTGACTAGAGCGGCACTCCGCACAGTCGTCAACGAGCAGGGTGCACCAGAACAGCTACCGCCGTACAGCTAGAGAGATGTGCTAGCGTGCGAGGTGGAGTCTTCTTGTGATGTCAGTCAAGGCAGGGAGCCGAGATCGCCGCTGCGGGAGTGCCGAGGTGGCAGGCCTCCTCGTCAAGCCTGTTGGCAGGCAAAGCGCCTGTTCGACAACACATTAATTTTAATGTTGTGCGTTTGCAGCGATTGCACGGTACACCACCACGAATGGACAAATCAAGGGCAATTTCCTACTAATATAATTTACTGCTTAGTTTCCGCTACTATTTATGTACAGCCGCCACACACAATCGTCAGTTTTACTCTCGACATACAGTAGTAATGAACCACAGCGGGGGGGACGGGCCAGCAAGCTGTTGTAGCTCACCGCGACAAGCTCTTCTTCGGCGGGGAAGTCCATCGCACCCACTATATCCTTCATGAACGCTTGTCCCTGTCGAATCCAACGGGGGGGTTGTTTTCACGGTAAGGGGAAAGCAGAACAGGGGTTAGGCAGGCACCACAACCGTTCAAAGGACGCTAAATAGCTGCAGGCAATCAATCGGCCGAAGTGCTGCTGAGGTAGACGTGGGGAGAGGGATGTCGTAGATGGTTCTTGGTTCAATTCCGGCGGATTGAGTAAAGCCATCGCTTAGCGCCTACACTACTACACGGCAAGCACAACGCCCTCGGATATTGTAGAGTTAGCCTCTGCGTACAACAGGAGTTGTACAAGCACGAACAAAATGGGGTCGTCGGGTAACCTTGGGGTGGCGGCGAGGTGTATGACTTTTTGAAGTTTCGCCCAACAAGCGCCTTTCAGCGAATCCGTCAAGCAAGGTGCACGCACCAACAACTGCACGTTCCAAACGTGAACCTAAGGGCCATCGCAAAGGTAAGCAATGCAATCCGCCTGCATGTCCATTGTCTTCCAGAAGGCCGAGGGCCGCTGTGAGCCAAGAACCGAGGTGCGCAAGGTCAGCAACAAAAAACACCAATACCCAATGCCAGCGGCAAAACGACAGACGCCACAAAACGACAAAGGGGTGAAGCAACCAAACCAGTACACCTAGAGCAGACCTTGGGCATCTATTGCCCCGGCCCGGCACACGACGCAGCGTACATATCCCAACGTCGTCCAGGCGCGCCTCCTGCCCTCCGCCGTTCGTTCAACGCACACGAGAACATCATCAGTCGGAAACTACTACGGTACACAGCAGTCTGGTTGTTGAAGCGACTCGCAACACACCTCCGTGGGTTGTTCATCATCCGCCATAGCGAGATCGTCTCGCAGCTCTTAAACTAAGGCCGCCCTTGCCCTGTGAGGGAGCAGCGTAAGGTGTGTTGGGGCTGGCGCGAAGCAAGGCTGTGTCTCCAGGAGTGTTCAGCGCGGAGGCGCGCAAACAGCTCAACTTGGTACCAAACTTTATTCTGCGTCCCCCCTCACCAAAAAACACGCACGGAGATGTGCGGTCCATACGGAACAGGCAGCGTGGGTCGAGAGCACATGGCAACGTGGGTCCACGAGTCTCCTTCCGATCTCGTCACCGGCCTCTGCGTGTCTGGCACCGCCAAGTTCAGCGTGCTGGAGATCGCGGCGACACCTTCGGGAGACTCAACCAATAGAGCAATGGCGGACGCTGCTGCTGCTGCTGCTGCTGCTGTGAAACCTGCGGACGTCGTCATGTCGGAAGCTGCTGCTCCGGCTGCGAAGGCTGCTGCTGCTGCTACGGGGAAGAAGGGGGGGGGGGGCAAGCAAAAGGGCGGGGTTCCCGCCGCTGCGCAAGCACCTGTGGCCAAAGGTAAGCTGACAGCAAAGCAACACTGATCGTGAAGGGGTAGACGATTTTGAACGGACATGAAGCGGAGATTTTCTCGATCGCAGCAGAGGGCGCAACGTCGTTCAAGAGGACACAGCAGCAGCAGCAGCTGCTTCAGCAGAGGCACACCAGACCGCTGCAAAGTGGACTACCGATATATAGCACTGGTATGTTGGTTCAAGTTTTTTCCACTGGATACCTTTACCTTTTATCCGATTAGCCACAATACAGGCAGCAATCTTGCTCGTAGGTCGACTGCTGCTACTGTCCTGCTTCACCGTGCCGTGGTCTACGGCTGTGCTTTTTCCTGGCTTTGTTGTTGTTGTTGTCTTCACATTAAAAACCGTTCCGATCTCTCTCTACCCAGTACCTTCGTATGTCCGTACTGATCCAACACTCGACGCGGTCGATTCCCGTGGTCACAGGTTAACTTACCCTAAAAAGGTACACTCAAATAAACTGGCCCCGAGGGGTCCGCAAGTCAATAGAAATCAACGACAGATATTCTGGGATCCTCCGCTCCCTCTTCACGCTATGCGGGGTATCAACTGAGATTAGCAGTCACTATCTATCATGGGCCGGAGAGAAAGAGGCACACTCCCTTGGTTCCATCTTGGTACTTCACAACGCAAGCAGAGACAAGTCCATCTGGCACAGAAAAAGAGAGAAAAAAAGAGAGAAAAAAAAAAGGACAAAAGAGAAAAAAAGGAGAAAAAATAAAAATGGAAACCGTAAGGAGAACAGAAAATAAATGAAAATAAAATGAAAAAATGAAAAAAAGGGCGAGGACAAAGAGGGACCAGGCCGAAAATAACAGGAAGTATGAGGCAGAACAAGGCACACGGTGGAGAGACCACTAACGAACAAGCAGACACGCAAACATGGCCACCAACCAGCGATACATTGTAGTGGTACGAAATCACTACTACTGGGGGGTTGGTGCAATGGTGCAGCGTTGGGGGGGGGGGAATTGGCGAAAAGAAATTCAATCCAGCACGTGTCGTGCCACTCGGTCCGTCTCTTCTCGTTTGCTTTCTTCCCTCGCCGTCTCGTCCGTCTCCTGCCCCCCTCCCGCCCCATTGGTTGTTGGCTTGTGGTTTCGTTTGAGCGCTCGTTGTCGGCTGGCCTCTTCTTCCTTCTCGTGCCAGGAGGTCATGAACCTCTCAGCTCCCTGCAGCACCGCCGCATGCCAGGGTACTCCCCCCTCCACCTTCGCGGCTTCCGTCCACCTTGACTTCGGTGCCGTGTCTTTCGGTACGGGAATTCCGAGACAACTTGGGTCGGTTTTCGTAGATCCGTGGTCGGCCCCGAAGGCCTTCAGGTCGTCGAGCACACACTTCGGCCAGTTCTGTTCCTGTCCCCCCCTACGTGGCTTCTCCCCCCCCGCCAGCTCGCCGAGCATCAGTCGTTTCGGGAGTCGCCCGTCCGGCTGCCTTGCCAGTGCTCCCGCGAACAGTAGGCGTCGTTGTCGGATCGTGGCTTCAACGCTCTGGCATTCGACCCTCTTCAGCGTCTGGGCGTACGAGAGCTGCCGGTAGGTGTCTTTCTTGCGCTTGTACCCGATAACTCGAAGGAGCAGTCGGTGGTGTGTCGACCGCAGCGTCTGATAGTGGCCGCTGAGTGGTGACCATGTCATGCAGCCGTACAGCAGTGCCTCCATCGCCTCCGCCTGGAGGAGGCGGATCTTGAGTCGGAATGGCGCTTTCGGTCTGTCGAAGAGCTCCTGGCCATATCGCCTGAGGCACGCCCACGCTCCTCTGCTCCTGTAGCTGATCTCCCGGGTGAGGTCGCCATGTTCGTTGACGAGGCCACCGAGGTACCGGAACTCGGTCGTAGGGCGAGCTGAAGCTCTCTTGTGACATCCAAAGGAGTTCCCGCAAGTCATTGTGCGGATGCCACACGCCACTGCTCCAGTCGTGTGAGGCCTTTTGAGTCTTGGGAATTTCCCGCTTGCAGCAGGCCTCGCGCTCTGAACAGCAATGCACATATCTTATTTGTGCGTACACACCCAGATGGATGCGACTGAAGAGGAAGTGGAACCATTTTTCAAGTGACTTGACATTAAGATCCGCAGCCATGTAGATACCGATTAGCAAAGCCCGCTTACATCACGACGAAGAGGATGCAAAACTCCAATACGTGTTCGGAAAGCCTCTCGACGAAAGAGGCGGTTCGAATGCCGCCATTGTCGGCACCGTTGTTGCTTTTGCTGCAGAATACGTAATCGGGCTTTGAAAATCGGCTGAGAGGGCGTGGTATCTTGCATCTTGTGCGACCTACCGAAACATTAACGTTCGGCAACAGCACCTGACCTATGGCGACAACGCTCAGCAAGGTGTACAGAGAGTTGATCAGCCGCACTTCAAGTACTCTCTGTGTGCGCTGGGGTTTGTTAGCTGTGAAAACTCGTATGATTATGTTCACAAAAGTACGCACAGGACAGATCCTGAGCTAGGTCACCCATGTCCTACAGGTCGCCATGTAGCAAGCATACCCCGATCATATATGTATGATATGTCCTTCAGATCACGATCGACCAAACATACCCCGATCACCTATGTCCTTCAGATCACCTCTCGCAAACATACCCCGATCATCTATGTCCTTCAGGTCACCTCTGACAAACATACCCCGATCACTTATGTCCTTCAGATCACCTCGAGCAAACATACCCCGATCACCCATGTCCTCCAGATCACCTCGAGCAAACATACCCCAATCATTTACGTCCTTCAGTTCACCTCGAGCAAACATACCCGGATCACCTATGTCCTCCAGATCACCATGGGGCGAACATACCCCGATCATCTATGTCCTTCAGATCACCTCGGGAAATCTTACATCGATCACCTATGTCCTACCGATCAACAGGGACATACCCTTCAAAAGAGCTAGCTCGATCTGTAGGGATCTGATCTGTCCCATTTGTCAAAAAGTATTCCCCAAGCGATTACGAAGTGTGCTTGAGTGTTCACTTCTGAAATCCCGGACAAAATGCACATGGTACAATGCATTGCCCAAACCAAGGGTCTGTGCGAAAAAAAATCCGGACACATAGGCCACCCCCCCCCCCTCCCGGAGGGGGAAGAGATTCGAAAAGTTACCATGAATCGTCGAAAAATTACCATGAGGCTGCATAGATGGATGGCTATAGTAAACGTGCCTCACTCTCGTTTCCCGGTTCTGCATCATCTACCTCCTCGTCATCGATGCCGGCCCACACTCATCACCCAGCCGTGCTACTTACAGGAACACACGGAAACAAGCAGCCTATTTAGTTCGCGTACAACAAGTAGTACGAAGAAAGTACAGTAGTTACAGTAGTACAGCACAGCAGTATTAGCAGTAAATAGTAGAATCGATCAAAAAGCTCGATATCAGTCCATTCAATTGGAACAGGTCATTGACCAGCTTTCACATTGAACCACCTGCCTTGCAAGCTTGCCCTTGCCGCCTCCTCTATCTATAGCACTGCACAACAGGGAACATACCTAGTCTCGCAAATCTACTCGTAGCCTTGGTCTTCTTGTAGGGTTACATGTGACTCAGCCAATCGGCCACACGGACGGGCGACTGGTAGGCTATAGCGGCTGCCCCTGTTTTTTTTTTTTTTTTCTCCCATCATTGGACTCTGTCGTCTGCCCCTCTGGCCCCTAACCTCCACTTCTACTAGCTAGACGACCTAACCGGGGTCATCACATAGGAGGGGGGGGTTGGACCCCCTCCTGCGGTTCCTGCCTGAGATATTGTTATGGCGAGAAGGGTTGTACAGCAATCCCTTCCCTCCCGACTTATGAAGTCGATCGAGTTTACTAACAACGAGCTTCGCAGCGCGTCGCTTCCAACTTAGGTATGTATGCATGCGAAGATTGCGATGATGACCCTGTAGTGTGCGGGGTGTCCGCCAACTCTCGGGGGTCTCCACAGCTCCACAGAGAGAGCCAGCAGCGCCAGCAGTGATGCACACCATGCGAGAACGGGACGCCGAAGCACCGTCGCCTCGGCGGAAAACCCGGGGATTCAAGGGTATATCCCCGCCCCCCGCCCCCCGAAGCGCCGATGCCTC